CGCGTTTTCACTGAAAGGCGGGCATTGAAGGCGGAGTCTGGAGGCGGAGTCACTGGAAAAAAGGAGGAACCACTGAACCTATATTGCGCTATAGCGCCCCTCCCTTTTTTTGCCGCGAAACCGGTACAAGGTTGTTCGTCGCGGACCACTCTAACCTCCTGACGCCATATTTTCAACTTCGATACCTGATCGCGGATCGTAAGTTTTTAAGGAGTGCCCAAACCTCATCTCCAGAGTATCCGTTCACCTGTCACATAAGCCTCTTCGGTGCAGTCCGGGGTGTTCTTTTAGGCCCGTCTCACAGAGAAGGGAAGGCAAACAATAATCTTTCCATCAAAGTCGCATCCTCAAATAACATCCAGTTTTTGTCCGAGAAAAACCACACGTTGGCAGTGGCGCTCAATGTCAACAAACGCAGTCGAGCGTACGAGTGTCTGTCTCATCGTCGTCATTGTCGTTAAAGCGCTACCGACAGATCCGGTCAATGTCCGCCTTGACAACTTTCTCACATAACTGGAAAATTACCCGTACTCCTTCGCTGTAGTGATGGTGATGGATTACACTAGAAAAGGAGCGAAAACCCGCCAACTAGTAATCTTTCAGCATACTGTAGGTAATTCCTAGCTGAAACTATTCACCGGAGATAAGTACTAATTTGTGATGAACGTTCCCACTTAGGGTTCCGATTGCTTCCTTCGACGGACCACAAGTAAAGCATATATGTGTGAAAAAAAACCTTCGCCCATAAAGTTCTGTTCGAAAGTAGGACTGTGCTAAACGAAGAGGAGCAGGGTATAGGGCTCCTGAAACTTCTCTATTTTTTGCAGTGATTGACAACTCCCTTCGCATTTCAAATAAAACAAGAGTACATTCTTGTCAGAGAGCTTTTGTGGAATGGAAACTGGAACCTTAGTTTCTTCTGAGGACTGGGCATGTCGTGGTGATAAAGAAATTTTTCGCCAAAACGGCCATAGGTTTTTATACCACCTCACTGAGAACATTCAACGAATGCAGTTGGGGGGGGGGGCATGAAACGCCCCAGCGTTCGCAGCGGATAAGGCTTTAGGTATTGATACAATTCATAGGAATTGCATTGGAAATCTCCTCGTTAACCTTTCAGTAACCTCTACTTAGGACTACTAACACTCATAAATCCCTTCTCCGAAAGGGACAAATAATTATATCCACGTCGTTCTTTACTCCTCTAAATCTGAAGAGCCGTTAAACGGGATGAATGTTAATTTTGGACGACCGGGAAAAGACGAGGAAATCTTAGGCTTTTACCAGTCAGTGAAATACGTGCATCAGTCACGGCGTACCGAATAGAGATTTTCGATGTCAAAAGCTTTGAACGAAAAAGAATATGGGTGTGAAATTTGTGAAAACGCTTTCAGCATATTTGCTCTGTTCCACGCTTCTGATTGTAACAGCATTTTCCAGACAGACGAGAAAGGTTTTCAGCGGATTTTTAAAATATAATTCCTTTGCACGCATTCAGTGCAAGCGGAGCTGTTTAATCCCAGGATAAAAATGGGGTGTATCAAGCGATTTTCCAAGGGATTACAAATAACAAGTGCATTGTAGTCCTAAAGGCAATAAAAAGCCATTGAGAAGCACTTGTTCCAGAAGACCGACTCAGATCGTTTTCTCCACATATTTTTAGTGGATTCAGTGGTACAGTAACATTTGCAAGTGCAGATTGCAAACTACAATTTTTGTCTCTGTTTATTTTGGACCGTAGATAAATGAGGGCCATACTCACCCGAGTTATCGTTAACGGATCCGGTCGCAGTGGTCGACGGAAATCCAAAAACCACCGCCGCACAGATGGCTGCCTATAATGCAGAACTAGATAATACGACAATGAACACGACTGCTTTTTTTTCTTGGGAAAAGTCAGCAAATCTCTCTAATCGATGTCGTGGGTCATGGGAAAGCAGACTCACCCATGACAGCCATATTGGGACCATAGTGAATCCTGAAAATAGCGCGTTCAAAGTGTGAAAGACAGGAGAAAGAAGAATCTCGAGGAACGTCAAGGAAAGAAATGAAAAGGAAAGTTAATCAGACTGACGCCAGTTAGTAAGAAACAAGATGTGAAGCACCCATCGGCAAGACTAACCAAACCTTCGATCCCTCCAGGTACACAGTGACTAGTCTCGGATTTGGGTGGAAAAACGAAACTTGGTCTACACACTAGCCGGAAAGGGATGTCACTGTTTAACACGTTCCGGACCGCGTGACACACATGGTGTGTCATAAATTTGTTTCTATGCAGTGCTTTATCCATCAATTTGGCTCTCCTTTCATGTTCCAGTGTTGTGAAAACATATTCTAGGTTACGGAAAGTACTTACCCCATGAGCGATTCCGAAAAAGAGAGGGAATTACTGATGAATCACTTATGAAAAATGACAAAATGGTCTGGAGATGCGCGCAGTAGGGCGGTCCGAAATGCGTTAAATCATAGAAATACACTTGCAGATCTTCACACAACGATGGCGACGATCGCTGACGATTGCTGATGACCGTCATAATGAAGCAGATGCTTATAAAAGGTGTCACCTTTTCAGAGAAAACTCACGTATTTCACCCTACTTCGCTTCACTTTCTCTGATCATGTCGGAAAATTTTTACAGAAAGAACACGACTTCTATCACAGGGTATACGTAAAGGATAAAGGATAAAGTCTTCGCCGTTGATCAATCCCTTTGTGGGATGCGGCACGCATTCTACTTCCATTCAGAATCGTAGTGGCTTATTGAATGCGATGTGGCCTATACAATGACTTGCGGTGGCCAGCCGATGTACAAGTCAGTGTTTTATCCTCCCACGAATCTGGTACCAATTTACCGTCCCCGGAGGGTAGAAGGCTTGGTTGGCCTGGGCGGGTGTCGACCCGGGATTCGAACCCGGCGCCGCGCGAGTGGTAAGCGCGCCACTTGTCACTACACCACCTCCGCCTCAATTTATACGTAACATATAAATATCGTAATAATATGCATAAAATGCAATTCTTAGATTGCTGCGTCTAACGCAAAAGTGGGCATAATTAAGTCCTCGTGAGGCATCTTATGAGGGCGAAGATGCACGGTAACAGCAAGTGCTGCCGCTGCCGCACGACTTTCGGATAAATAGTGGGGGGGGGGCAAAACTTTATTGACCGGAAAGTTCTGTATGTCACACTATCAATGCCATACAGTAGCAAACCGTTCTGAGTGGAAACTTATTGAACTCTATACCGCGCGGAGCTCCTGCCCAGGCAGAACAAGCCTTCGATCCTCCGGACTGAAAATTAGTTTCATATTAGACTGGGGGAAAAACACTGAACTGTATTTAGGCGGGGACCCGCAGGTCATTGTAGAGGGCCAATTAACCGCATTCAATAATTCAACTTCATCTCCGAATAGAAGTAGACGCATTTCCGTTATGGGTTGGTTAAAGGGCGAAGACTCCATCCTCTACCCTTATCCTTCGTACCTGCACGGCAACGCAGTCCAGTAGGGCTAGACCATTGGAAAGTCACTACTTCGATAGGTTTATTTCAGTGTACGTTGAGCGCGTGGCGGCGCATCTTGAAGCACCAGTGAGTCAAAAAATTACGCTATTTCTTTGGGTTTTCTCGTAGCTCAAAAAATGCCAGTACATTTAATACAATAATTCTAAAAGGATTAGGCCTTTATTTGGGCAGAAAATGCATCTATTCTTCCTAGCCAGAAATTTTCTGAATTCTATCCGCAGCATGGATGAACTACTAGTCAAAGGTGCTCTGATTGTACTGTTAGACCCTTTCCAATGGATATTTTTCTAGAAGAGCAGTCAGGCAGGGGAGTCGGTAGGTTATATATTTTAAACGAGGCAAAAGCCACTTACTTGCGCCGCTAAGGTCGAGTAGAGAATCACAACTTAAATAATTTGGGGGATAGCAATAACCTACCAAAAAAGTCATATGTAATAAAGTTTCCAGACAAACTGGTTCAGTGCCAGAGTAGAGTTGCCTGCTAAAGTCGTTAAGACTTCGAGCACAAGCTAAACTATGGCAAATACATCAGTTGCAGTAACGAAATCTGCAGAAGATATGCACAAACCTACCTTAGGGATCGATCAATTGGGTCTGACGAAAAGGCCAGGGTGGGAGTTCGAGTATCGTTCCAGAGCAGTGAGTCATTTGTTCACTGGTTTTCTTGGGTGCGGAAATGTTCTCTATCGCCCTTTTTTGGGCTCTACTTCTAGTGTAATGCCATTTTAGGGAACAGTTGACTTCAGAACCTATTTTCTCACGATATGGTACATTATGGTTACAACAGGAGTCACTGGCTAAGGCAATTTGAACAAAATTCTTTTTTCAGTATGAAGGAAAAGGCAGAAAATTCTGAATAAAGTTTATTTTTCATTTTAGTCCCCATAACCACGCATTTGTTCGCTCGGGAAACTAACTTTTCAATACCCTTCAAGAAATATTTTTCCTTCTTATCCCCAAAATGCCCGTTAGTGCACGCTCGGCCTTGACTTCAGCGTCAGAGAAACGCTCCACGAGGTTCTTTTTTCAGGTTGGGCGATAAGAAAAAAAAATCAGTAATCATCTTCTCAGTTTTTTTTTAATTTTTCGCAATTTTTTCAGTCAGTAATCATTTTCTAAACATTGTCGCATCAGTTATTCTGGTCTTTTTTTAACCAAGGGTAACCGGAATATCATTGATGATAACTAGTTGAAATTTTCTGTCTATACCAGGGCACGCCATCGCGTTGTGATCATGCCTGAAAAATGCGGCC